CCATATCCCATGCCCAGGAGAATCTCCAGATTGGTGAGTGAAGAGAATTTCATCTAGGGTCTGGGATGGTACATCAAGGAGACATTGGCTGTCTCTCCAACAGTGTTGCAGAACAGAAGCTTGTGGGTAGTTCAAGGAAGTTTGTCATCGTTATCTGTTCCATTTATGCATCCTATACCCTCCTTACCCTATGCCAGTTCTAATTCTGAAAGGGTTTGTGACACCTCAAATTTACTGAAGTGTATGAAGCAGCTATTGTGACACCTCTAGGAGGGCTAGATCCAGGGGGCACAGCTGGCCTGAGCTGCTCACATGTAGACTCCAGTGTTTGTTTACATGCAGTGGTGAAAGGCTCCCTCTTGTCTGCATCCGCACTTGACAGTTTCTAAAACTAACATGGGACCATCTCCTTGCTGGGAGACGGAAGTAGATGAGACCCATAGAAGTGGAGCTGTAATGTGCAGGAGCAACCAGGGAGCCTTTTACCACTGCTCTCTAGTGTCCTCATCACCTACCCCCATGCTGTAAACTTCTTTCAAGGTCTCTCCCTTTGTGTGGAGCTCCCTACCTCAAGCACCCAGGGTATCTCCTAACCACTTTTAGGTGATCTCTGAAAACCTATCACTTCAGGGAAGCCTATCCTGCCTCAGAGCTCAGTTTCATTTTCTCAATCAACTGTTCCCGTCAGTTATTTGTGTCACTTGCCCATCCCTTACAGATTGTAAGCATAGGAATAACCCTTACTGAAGTTTTTGGGGAAGAAGCACCATTTGACCCCAGGGATAGATGGATCAAAGCAGCATCCTCTGGATTGACATTCTTCAGAACCAATTCCTGGAAATCCACAGTCTGTTCTGTCAGCCGGACTCACCGAGCACTGCGTCTCATCTATGAAGAATTAAAATTCTTATCAATAATGTCTACAGGCTGCACATAAAGGTTTGTGTTAATGAGGAACTCATGTTTCTAACCATATATGACTTAAAAGGATAAGAGTACTTTCAGACAAAGTGCACTTAGCATATTTTTTGCTCCATATGATGCACCTGACCATAAGATGCACCTAGGTTTTAGAGAGTGAAAAAAAAAAAAAAAAAAAATTCTGAACCAAGAGACTGCGGACACAGTACAGGGGGATGACCAAGAGACTGCGGACCTTTGGGGAGGGGGGGTGGGTACCTGATTTTGACAGGTACCCGCTCCCACTTCTGCAGAGTTGTCCTCCCTTTAGTGTGGGCACCTGACTGACAGCTGGGTGCCCACACTAAAGATGCCAAAGCGGGAAAGTCTGTACAGAGCTGGACCGAACAACAAGTAAGGTCCTGCTGCAGAGAAGACCAGAGTGGCCGTCCCGGTGTTCTGACACTGCAGCGGCAGAAATACTGGATGCTCCATAAGACGCACTGACAATTTGCCCCCTTTTTTTTTATGGGGGGGGTCTTATGGAGCAAAAAAACCCAGTATTTTGCCCCTTTGCCCTGACATTAACTACTTGCCAACCGCAGATAGCCGAATGCACTGCACTGCGGCCGGCCAGTTCTGGGAGGGCATCAGGACGTCCTCCCAGAACGCGCTCTCCTGCGTGCACCGGCAATCTCAGTGATTGCCGTGTCCTGATCACGTGATGCGGTAAAAGGCCAATCATAGCCTTTTACCACGTGATCAGCCGCGTCCAATGACCCGCAGATCACCAGGAAATGCAATTGCCAGTTCTCGGCTGCACTTTGCTCACGCTGTCAGAGCGTAAGGAAAGTACTGCCGAGAACCAGCAGTTCTCAGAGCAGGGATCGGCACCAATCAGGACACTGATGATCAGTGCCCAGCAGCGCCACCCACCTGTGCCACCCAGCAGCGCCACCTCATTAGTGCTGCCTATCAGTGCCGCCTATCAGTGAAGGAGAAAAAAAATTACCTGTTTGAAAAATTTTATAATAGAAACAAATAAATTTTAAAAATGTTTTGCACTTTGTTTTTAGCGCAAAAAGTAAAGTGCCCAGTGGTGATTAAATACCACCAAAACTATTTGTGAGGAAAAAAAAAAAAAAAAAAAAAAAAAAAAAAAAAATTCATATGGGTACAATCTTGCATGACCGTGCGACAGCGCTGAAAGCTGAAAATTGGCCTGGTAAAGGGGGTATAAGTGCCTGGTAGGCAAGTGGTTAAAGGATAAGTTGACCTTTTGGACAAAAAATAAATGCAAAGGAGCCTGGAAAGCATTTCACCAGCGATCAGTAGATGGCTGATGCCATACAGGTCTCCTGCGGATCTGGCAGAATATCTGCTAGCTTGAATGAACTACCAAAGCTCTTCACAGTGCCGTGGTAGTAATTGAAAACTACAAAAGTGACTTGTAGGCACTCTGTAGAACTCTGAATGATTGACGCAGCCATGCCATTTTAAAAATCTGATAGCATGGGGAGAAGCTTCCCCGTACTGTCAGAGGGAAGGGGGGGCAGCAGGCTCAGCTATGAGAACATGTTACACACCCTAAAAATGGGAGGAACATGTAACATGTTCCAAAAAGGTGAACTTATCCTTTGTGCTTGTTGGAAATCATCTGAGGGTAGGGTTTTCAGACTCCAGAGATTTACATTCAGCTGCTAAAGGCCCCCTCTCCTGGCTGTACCTTCACATTACAGGCCCTATGATTTCTATGGAACCCTTTCCTGCCTTGGAGATTGAGGTAGAGGAGCCCTGTAGGGGTGACGTTGCAATGTACAGACTCAAAGAAAGGGGGCCTTTCACCACTGAATGTAAGCAAGCAATGGAGGCCACAGCTATTGGATCATGATAAGTAAGGTAGGGTTGTTTAGGTCAGGGAAGTGCACTTATTCTTTAAGGCTGAGGCCCAGCCAACAGTTAAACCTATAGATGAAATGCTTACATGTAAGTGGTTTTACTTGACAAAGGGTTTGTTTCTGTCCCTCCAGTCCAAATATTTACACAACCACATTATTATTATTATACAGGATTTAAACAGCGCCAGTTCGCTCAGTGCTTTATAATAAAACAGGAGACAATACAGCAACAATACAAAAGGGGAAAGTAGGGCCCTGCTCCTTGGAGCTTACAATCTAGGAGGGAGGGGGCTAGTGGTACAAAAAAGGTAGTAACTGTGGGAGATGGACTGGTTGGAAGATTAGAAGATTCCATTATTAGCTGAGGGCAGGATAGGCTTCCTTGAAGAGATAGGTTTTCAAAGACCGCCTAAAAGTGAGCAGAGTAGGCGATAGTCTGATAAATTAGGGTAGAGAGTTCCAGAGGATAGGGGTAGCCCTGGAAAAGTCCTGGAGATGAGCATGGGAGGAGGAGACAAGGGAGCTAGAGAGCAGAAGGTTGTACGAGGAACGGAGAGTACAGTTTGGGTGATATCTAGAGACAAGATCGGTGATGTCATTTGGGGTAGAGTTATAAATGGCTTTATACATTGTTCATTTTTTGAATTTTATCCGTTGGGCAATGGGAGGCCAGTGGAGGGATTGGCAGAGAGGGGGTGGCAGATACAGAACGGGTTAGTAAGGTGGATAAGTCTGGCAGCAGCAATCATGATAGACTGAAGAGGGGATAGCCTGCGATGAGGCTGGACAATGAGGAAGGAGTTGCAATAGTCAAGATGAGATAACAAGGGAGTGAATAAGTTGCTTAGTGGTTTCCGAGGTTAGGAACGGGCGTATCTTGGAGATGTTGGAGGTGAAGTCTACAAGATTTGGACAGTGATTGGATTTGGGGGTGAAAGGACAGATGGGAGTCTAGGATTACACCTAGTACCCTGGCATGAGGGGGAAGGACTGATTATGGTGTTTGATTTTGCAGAAGTCAGGAGAGGGGGCACAGGCTGGGGGGATTACTAAGAGCTCAGTTTTGGAAAGATTGAGTTTGAGGAAGTGGAGCGACATCCATGCCGATATGTTGCTTAGTAGGTTATTAATGCAAGAGGAGACTGAAGGGGTGAGACGAGGGGTAGAGAGATTTGTGTGTCACCAGCATAGAGAATACTTAAAGCCATGGGAGTTTATCAAGTGACCAAGGGAGGAGGTGTAAATGGAGGAGAAAGGGTCCAAAGACAGAACCTTGAGGACCCCTGCAGAAAGAGGGAGTGAAGAGGAGGAGGCAGTGTTATAGGCAATGCTGAAGGAGCACTGCGATAGGTAAGAGGAGAACCAGGAGAGCAGAGTCTGAGACCAAGAGAGTGGAGTTTGAGGGGATGGTCAACCATATCAAAAGCCTCAGAGGAGGTCAAGTAGTAAGAGTACAGAGTAGTGACCATTGGTTTTAGCCGTTAGTAGATTAGCGAGTTGCATGCACAGCTATATATAGCAGGAGGACCTGATTTTTCTCTTCTAATGCAGTTCAGTATCCCCCCTGCCAAAGACCAGGCAGTAAAAAGGAGGAGGAGCAGCAGATTTTTGAGATGTTATGCATCAAGTCTGCACACTCCTATCAGCATGTTCCTTGTTAGCACATCAGCACTATATGATTGGCTTTTTGGATTGCCTTCCCCTACAGTCTGAGCTGTGCTACATAGGGGATTATGGGAGGCTCATACCAAGTAGAACTAAGACGCTAACACCGCTTGCTTTTGTAAATTACTGTGGAAACTGTTGACACTCTAAAAATTCTGCATATTATTATATTAATGGAAATCAAAGCATAGGAAATCTTACTGTTGTCATTGGGGTAGAAGCACCATTTGTCCCCGGGAATGGAGGAGTTGAAGCAGCATCCTCTGGAATGGCATTCTTCAGAACCAATTCCTGGATATCCACAATCTGTTCCATTTCCTGCATATCCACAGCCTGTTCTGTCAGCTGGCCTCACCAAGCTTTGATCATCTGGCCTCACCAAGCTTTGATCATCATCTATGAAGAATAATTGATAGCAATTAATGTTTACTGGCTGCACAGAAGAGTTTTCAGAGCCTGGGGGGGGGGGGGGCGGGGTGGGGGGGGGGGTGGGGGGGGGGGTACTAATTTTTATACACATTCTTGACTTAAGGGTAAGTGCACTTTCAGATATGGTGGGCCTAGTCTTTTTACCCCATTGCCCTGACCTAGATGATTCGACCCTTCCCCTTCACAGACATAGAGATCTGGATGTTTTACAATCATCTGTGAAAGGCTCCCTCTCCTGGCTGTGCATGCACATTACAGCCTCATGGACTTCATTGGGACCTCTCCTGGCTGGGAGCTGAAGGTAAAAAAAAAAAAAAAAAAAAAAAAGCCACAGAGGAATCTATGGGGCTAGAATGTACATATGTGGTTAGGAGAGAAGCCTTTCACCTATGGAGGTAAACAATGGAAGCCACAGATCTTGGATCTAGGCATGTATACATGTGGGGGGGGGGGGGGGGGGGAAGGTTAAGACTATCAGAGGTAAATCTATAGCTCTATTCAGAATGGGCTGCCTTAACGTGACAACCACATGTGAACACACCACAAAGTAGATGGGCCCTTAGTCTAAAGGATTTTATTAGCTATGTGATGCAATAACTTACCGAGTTGTTTTGGGAAGAAGCACCATTTAACCCTGCGAATAGTGGAGTTAAAGCAGCATCCTCTGGAATAGCACTCGCTGGCATTAATTCCTGGGTATCCGCAATCGGTTCTGTCGGCTGGACTCGCTGCACACTGAGCCTCATCTGAAACGGGTAATAAAGCAGGTTTAAAGGGGGGGGGGGGAATCCACATTAAAAAAAATTAGGAAATCCTTGTCATGTTGCCAAGCAGGGAACGATCCTTCGTTCAGCTGAAAAAAGCTAGTTTGCGGATCTGCTGGTTTCAATATTATACAAGTCACTGGCCTAGAATAAGTAGATGAGTTCTGTCCTTAAAAAAAAAATCTCTGAACCCCAAAATAAGTATTGTATCCTTAGTTGTAGTGGCTGCATTCATTTATGTTTCAGGGTTTCTTTTCAACGGGTAATCCTGCAAACATTTCCTGGCTCTTTGTGGCTATGCTTACTACTCTACTGTATCTATAGGGTAAGGGCATAAACGTGCTCAATGTAATTCTCTGGCTACTAGATGGCTCCAGAGTCATTGTAATGGGTTAGGTGCAGGACCATTTGGACTAACAGGCAGTGTTAGTGCCATCGGAGCCAGTAGAGCTCCCCATAGGTAGGATGCCAGTTAAGTACATGGTGTTAATGTCAACCTTGCATCTACAGTTAGAGAGCAGCCCATACTTTACAGGGGTTGTCCCGAGTACTGCATCCCTAGTCAGGGATGTACATAGCCCATAAAGTTTTGCCTGCCCCAAGTCAGGGTCTCCAAACTGTCAGATACGGCCCTTTGCTCACACCGTTATCCAGCAATTGGGGCACTATTCCTCCCCCTGACACAATGGGGCCCTTCTCCCACTAATGCCAAGGAACAGGCGCTCTTCCCACTGACACCAAAGAAGAGACACTATTCCTGCTACTAGTACCAATGACAAGACACTATTCCTACCACTAACAATAATGGGGCACTATTCCTCCCCACTGATACCAACAGGTTTGGCACTTCTTCCCACTGACCACAGTATTTTTTTTTTTATTCCCACTGACCAAGCCTAAGGCATTTTCTACTCCCACTGGCCACAGCCCACCTATAGTCTGAAGGACTGTAAATTGGCTTTGTTTAGAAGGCCCTTGCTCTACTTTACTTTCTATTGAAGGAGATTAACAGACCAAAATGTTTTAGCAATAACAGCGAAGATAGTTCACGATATTATTCTGTGGCAGATTCCAGTAAGGTTTGTTCTCTGTGGTAGTACTCACTGTCAGAGTTAGTGTAGTAGCACCAGTTCACCCCCCATGTACACTGGTATTGAAGCAGCACCCTCTCTTGGCACAGTCTGAAGAGCTTATTCCAGGGTATCCACAGTTTCTTCGCTCATATGGAGAGCCGTTACACTCATTCGGTGCTATATATCTAAAACCACAATAGGAAGAATTATGCAAGTATTTCAGTACTAAATATTCCATACAAGTAAAGCTCCACACTTCCTATGTGCACTTCTCAATCATCTGCGATGGAGACATCTAGGGAGTCCAGTTATGCGTTTTGAAGAATATTGTATCAAGGGCAACAAAGCTAATAAAAAGGGGTTGGAGGGCATCAGTTATGAGGAACAACTACAGAAATTAAGGTGTATCCTTGGTAGAAGGGGAAAAAAAAAAAAAAAAAAAAAAAAAAAAACTTTGGTGTTTTAGTGAACACAATCTACAGATATATGGAAAGTGGTAGTGACAAATACACACATACAGGTTGAACTGGATGGATTGGTGTCTTATTCAACCATACCAGCTATGTAAATATATTTTAATCTTAATCATGTAGTTTAGATTGAAAAATCCCCAGTGAAGTTAATTTACAAGCTATAACACCATAACTTCCACCATAGATATGATTTACCAGATTCTATGACCTCAAAAGGAAAGAATGTCGATTTGTGCTTTATAGTGTTCTGGGATGAAACATTTTGGACTCCCATTACCCACCACAGCTGGTGATGTTCCCTTTGGATGGAACCACTGATCTGTACATAAAAATGGATTGCCAATGGAACTGTCAGTCCTATAGAGATTAAGTGGTGGTGGGCAGAGTTCCCAGTCCCCTTCAATACGCACAACGCCGGTGACAGCATATAGCGTACTACTATGGACATGAGAGGCTCCATAGTGCCAAGATTGTATGCACTTTCAATGCAAGCAATAGTGTGCAGAGTTCAAGGGGTTAAAGGTCGTGAGGCGGCTTCCTCACACGATCTCCTTTTCAAGACAAAATAGGAATACTAGGATTTGTTGGGGGGGGGGGGGAATCTTGCGTTTTGTGAAAGCATGTTTCTACTATACAATTGTAAGCAAGAAGCACTTCATGGAGTGCTGGTGACCTTTCAACTACCAATGAATATTGAATGGACGCCATCCACTTGGAGAGGTCAAGCACCCATATATCTGTTGGCCACACTGTGTATAGATGGATATTAAATGTAGAATTCCAGGGTATTGGTCATTTTAAAATGTTTGTTTTGACCAAGCTGGCCCAACAAACTATTTCCATTACAGAACAATGTGACTGCTGTGTGCTGTAATATACTGTATCAACATTAGCTACATACAGTAGGCAGCGCTGTGTTTTGGAAACAGTACCGGTGACTTTCCCTCTGCTGCCACATACTGCATGAAGAGTTGGGCCCAACGCTCCTCTTCCTTTTAAGTGAAGCTTGTATTTTTATCAATAAATATAAAGGCTGAGGTAGAGATTAAGTCGGCAGATGAAATCATGATCACCACCTTATTCAATCAGAGAAGTTTTGTATTGCATTGCAGATTCTTCAAAATTTCTAAGGACTACATATTCCATGGTACCTTTCTACCTGTAAGCAGTGATTCCTGTACTGACTCCTCAGCACCTCTGTACATAAGTCAGGCTCTGTAAAATGTGTGACAGCAGTGCCTACTCAAGGCATGGCGACTACGTGTCACAGAAATCACAAAAATAAGTGGAAATTTTCAAAAAGTAAATTTACAAAGACTACAAGATTGTTAAGATGACTAAAATATGGACTTCAAATAACTGAACTGTAATGTGGAAATGAATACAGGAGTTCATATTTTGGCCAGATATGCCTTCTGCTTTAATCACCTCTAAACCGGAGACTCACCCCCTTCCTGCCCAGGCCAATTTTCAGATTTCAGTGCTGACACACCTTGAACACCAGTTACTCATACAACACTGTACTGAAATTCAATTTTTTTATTGTTAGACAGAGCTTTCTGCTGCTTGTATTTAATCACTGCTGGTTTTTTTTTGCTACACAAGCTCTTAGTTTTTGAAATAAAAGTTTACTTTTCTTCATAAATTTAGGCCAAGATGTATTCCGCTTCATTTCTTTGGTGAAAATAACCCACATCAGGGTTTATCATTTTAGTATGTAGAAAGTTAGCGTTCAAAGGCTAAGGTATATAATCTGAAAATTAATCAATCCTGATGTACTGACAACCTATCATTTCTTGAGGCCTGAAAATGGCAGGACAATACAAAACCCCAAATGACTTTTTGGAAATTAGACAGTCTAGGGCAGTGATGGCGAACCTTTTTGAGCCGAGTGCCCAAACTGCAACCCAAAAAACCAACTTATTTCTTTCAAAGTGCCAACACTGCAATGAAACCTGAATATCGAGCTTTTGGTTTAGAAAAAACAACTCGTACAGTAGTGCAAACTAATTAACAGCACAGAGATGACCAGAGACTGCGGACACAGCACAGGGATGACCAGAGACTGCGGACACAGCACAGGGATGACCAGAGACTGCGGACACAGCACAGGGATGACCAGAGACTGCGGACACAGCACAGGGATGACCAGAGACTGCGGACAGTACAGAGATGACTGCTGACCTTTGGGGAGGTGGGGAGCGGGTACCTGAATTTGACAGGTACCCGCTCTTACTTCCGCAGAGTTTTTTTTTTTTTATCTTACCTGTTCCTTTATCCAGCCGCGCTGTCTTCCCGGCTTCTGTAGTGTGGGCGCTCGTCGGACAGCCGGATGCCCAGTGCGCATGCGCGAGAAACGCTGCGCTTTGTGATTGGTCCGGCGGCTTCTGGGATCTGTCATGTGTCCCAGGTACCGCCTTACCATTCACAAAGAGCACTGCTTCTTGTGCATGCGCACTTGGGACCCGGCTGTCACGCACACTACAGCGGGGAAGACAGCGCGCCGCTGGATTCTCCTGGCGTGCCCACAGATAAGGCTCGGCATGCCGGCTGTGGCACGCGTTGCCACGGGTTCGCCATCACTGGTCTAGGGTATTTAGTAAGAGGCATGGGGAGTTATGTGAAGTTGTAATTATTGTAATTTCTTTTGAAAAAAAAGAAATTATACAAAATGTGGGTTTTTTTTTCACAATTTATATTTACATACTGTCCCCAGAGCAGCAGAGCGTCATCGTGTCTCATGTGCTGGTGATAAGGGATACTGACTTGACAGTATTTCCAATTAAAGGTTTTGGTTCTCATCTTTTTCCCTTTTTTTTTAACAAACTGACCAGTGCAGTATACTACAGTGACACTGTACTGCTCTGGAAAAGGGATTATACATTTTTTTACCGATTGCTTATAATAGTGATTGTCACTGTTATAAGCAATCATTTTTATGAATGACATCCATTCAGTTACAGGGTGTTCTATTGTGAACAATGTGATTGGTCTCAGCTATCACATGGTACAGAGGCATTGTGATTGGCCTCGTCTGCAACATGTGTCTACTATGACCAGAGATCACCACAATAGTACACAATGAATAAATGCAATTCATTGTGTTCAGCTGCCATGTGATCACTGGTCACAGCAATCACCAGCCTGGTACAGTGATATATCATCCACTGTGTCCAGTTTTTACTATGATTGCTTACAACAGTGACAATCACTATTATAAGCAATCATTTTTATGAAAAACATCCATTCAGTCACAGGGTGTTCTATTGTGATAAATGTGATTGGTCTCAGCTATCACATGGTACAGATGCATTGCGTTTGGCCCCATCTGCAACATGTTTACACTATGACCAGAGATCACCACAATAGTACACAATGAATGGCTATGAATAAATGCAATTCATGTGTGTTCAGCTGCCATGTGATCACTGGTCACAGCGGGTCACCAGCCTGGTACAGTGATATATCATCCACTGTGTCCAGTGGACACAGTGTGACAGATTGAGCTGAAGCATGGCTGCTAGAGTGTAGAGGAGGCGCAACTGGGAGGATGTCATATGACGTCCACTCAGGATGGAAGAGCTCCCACTCATTCTGCTATAGAAGCAGTTAAAGAATGCCCCATTGGTGATGTGGTGACCCAACATAAAAAATTACAAATCTCTCCAACATGAGATCTTAGATATTGGTAGAGCAAGTGTCTCTGCTGGAAGATGTACCCTCAAATTCTGCTCTGATCAA